TGGCAACAGGTTTTCAAAGTTCAAAATAGTTGATCGACTGTGACCGACAAGTATTTTATATAATATAGCTAATTTATCATTATTATTTGCATTTTTTCCGCAATAAATGTAACATTCGAATAAGAAGTCGTCAGAACCGCAAAGAGCCCACATTTTTATACCAAATCGAACTGGTTTGTTGCGAATAAATTGTTTGAAATGCAATCGCCCATTAAATTTTACCATCATTTCATCTGCAGACATAGCCGTTTGAAAAAAGCAAAAGCGCTTTGTATTGGAATTAAACATTTCTAAGAGGGCATGTACTCGCCAGGCAAAATCATTCGGATTTTGATCACTTTCTTTTGAACACTTTATTAGTCTTTTAATTTCTGAAAATCGATCTCGAGACATTGCCAATTTAATAATCTGACATTCCAAAAGAGGATCTGTTGACCAGTAATCTTTTTCAGATGAACGACTGTTGAACGCTGTAAGAATCACTATACCGATAAAAATATCAAGTTCATGTAAGGAGATTTCCAATCCAATTTTGGAAGAACAATCTATGATGTATTGTTTCATAGATAGTGAAAAGAACATTTTAAAAATTTTAGCAGGAGCACTTGGAAGAATGGTATTAGAATCCTTATCAGTCAACAAATATTCATTTTTTAAATTATAATCATATGACTTTTCCCCATCAATCCATTTGTACTCGTGATCTGCTTCTAAAAACTTTTGATTGTCAGTGTAATTATCAAACATCTCTCTATATGATATTATTTTATCCTCAGCATAATCAAGTTCATCATTCTCGTTATCACTATCACTAAAATTATCTTTAGAATCATCTTCGACATCTGAAGTATTTAAATTAGGAATTATTGCTATATCAATGTTATCCTCGTCTTCAAATACTTCATTTGAAATTGTCTCAGAAGTATTGGATATTTTTTTCAGAACTTCTTGTTCTTCGAGACAATTTACAGTTAGATTTAAAAAAAAAATTAATTAAAAAAATCTATATTAATGACATTTCATCCGCCATATTTGATCCGCCATTTTGAATTTTTAAAAACTGACATTGGATTCGTAATCAGCGACCCTAAAAACCCCCGAGTAACAATTTGCAGGCGATTTCAATTGTTTTTAAATTGTTTATATATTTTATCCGCCATATTGGAACCGCCATTTTGAATTTTGAAAATCTGACATCATATTCGTATTCAGAGACCCCAAAAACCCCCGAGTAATAAATTTCAAGCAAATCCGACGAATTTTTAATGTTTTCATCCGCCATATTGGATCCGCCATTTTGAATTTTTAAAAACTGACATCGGATTCGTAATCAGCGACCCACAAAACCCGTGAGTAACAAGTTTAAAGCGATTTCTATGACTTTTGAAAATTTCGTACACTTTGTTATTATATTGTTTAAAAAAATAACTTTAGTTGCTGTTTTTTGGTAGCCATTTTGAAAATTAAATTTCTCGATAGCCCTATCTTGTAGTCCAAACATTTTTAACACGATATTTATAACATTTAAAGGTATTCTCATGCGATTAACTATAAAAAAATTTTTAAAACTGAAAAAATATGAAAAAATCGTGTTTTTTTAAACAATTGTCGTGTAATTAGTTTATTTAAAAATTTACAGTTTTCGGGATACGCCATTCGAAAGAGCGATTCTTGAGACAAAAGAAATGTTTCTTGTCAATTTTTTTCAGTATCGTTTAAATTTTGAAATCTGGCCTTAAACTTTGTATAAAAGTTTATACTTCCCGTCCTTAAGGGGCTACACCACTTTGAAATTTTCAAAAAATTGAAAATTTTTTTTGCTTAACCCTTTAACGCCCAGTGGTACATACGCTGTACTACAAATGCATTAGTCATCATAACTTTAAAACTAATACATATTACTAAAAATTTTAAATTCTTAGCTCTAGTAAAACTCTTCCAGCAGATAATTAAAAAAAACAAAAGTAAAAAAATAATAATAAATAAATATGTGGGATTGTTAGGATTGTGTGACACAATTAATTTCTCAAATTAATAACAACATTTATTTAATCAATAACAGAATTACATACACAAAATAAGAAAGATAGTAAAATGTTAAGGTTTCGATTACGAAATAAAAGATACGAAATTACTCGCGGAATTTTTCGTTAACGTAGGTGCTTGTCGAAATGCTCTCAAAATTGAACTGAACTTTACACAGAAGATCGATGCTTCTTATACAAGAAAGTACATTAAAAACCTATTAAAAGTAATTAAAAATGCATTTCTATGTCTAGACTAATATGACATAAAGATTCATTCTAAACACGTAATTCAAAGGTAAAGTTGGAGACAGAGAGTCAGACTTAGGGGCATGACAAAGCTAGAACGTTAAAAACTCATTAGACACAAGGAAAAGGGCCAGACAAGACCTAAGCGTTAAAACCGAATTGCGAAAAAGTAGAATAAGTGTAGAAAATTCCTATTTCATTATTTCATTAAAAATATTTAAAAATTATATAAAAATATTGTAGAGAACGCTACAGTACCCCCCTGCTAGTGGTTAACGATTATGAGAAACCACCTTGCAGGCGGTCAGGGAAGCGTACACGTCTTCCAGATCTTGTAGAGTGTGGTACCAAAACTTCCTCTCGTTCTGGTCGTGGTAACTGCTCCGTGGGTGCAGCCTCCTGGCTGCTGGTATCGGGAGATGACTGGATGTTGGCCTCAGGATCACCAGCCAAAATATAAGCTGGTTTCAGACGGTCTATCGAGATATTAACGTCACGACCGTTGATGTTGACGAGGAAGGTTTTCTCGAACCTTCTGATGACCTTGTAGGGACCGTCGTAGGGCTGCTGAAGTGGTTGCTTAGGAGAATCGTGTCTTACCAGGACTTGCTCAGTTGTCGCAAGGTCCTTGAAGACAAAGGTTCTCCTAATTCCATGGCGAGATCCTCCAGTAGGCTTGATGTTCCGTAGCTGTTGTTGAAGACCCACAACAAAATCATCTGGAACGGGAGAGTTGTCGAAGCTGCTGCTGTTATTGTCCCCCAGGAATTCACCAGGGAGGCGAAGAGACTGACCATACACTAAGTCAGCTGATGTTGCTTCGATGTCGTCCTTCCAAGCTGCTCTAATTCCAAGCAGCACAGTTGGTAGCGGAATTCCATTGGCAGATGGATGATAAGCAGTCGTGCGAAGATGAGTTGTACCTAATAAGCGATTGAGTTGCTTAAATAAGTACGACTCAAACTGACGTCCTTGGTCGGTGGTGATCCTCAGCGGAGTTCCAAATCGAGCAACCCAGGTGTTGTAGAATGCTCGAGCAACAGTTTCAGCTTCCTGATTTTCCATTGGTACTGCTTCAGGCCACCTAGTGAATCGGTCAACCATGGTGAGGCAGTAACGATGTCCCTCAGATGATGGCATGATGACGATGTCCAGGTAGACATGCTCGAATCGTGATGACGGTGGTGAGAAGTTGCCTATTGGAGATAGGACATGGCGTGAGACTTTCGACTTTTGACAGTTGATACAGCTGCGAGCCCAATTCCTGCAATCAGATTTAATCGACGGCCATACGTAACGCTGTGTTACGAGCTTGACCGTAGATTTAACTCCAGGATGAGAGAGGTTGTGGATGGTGTTGAAGGCTGCTTTCCGGAATTTTTCTGTGATGTAGGGTCGTGCTGACCTAGTGGATACGTCACAGAAAATCGAGACATCTGCATCAGGAATCCGAATCAGTTGGAGGGAAGAATCTGCATCCTCCAGGATTGTCTTCAGCTCCATGTCGTCACGTTGACTGGCTGCAAGAGCATTGTAGTCCAGGATGGTTTCAATTGTAGAGATGCGAGATAGGGCATCTGCTACAACATTATCCTCTCCAGAGACGTGGCGGATGTCGGTTGAGAATTGACTGATGAATTCCAGATGTCGAAACTGACGTGGAGAACACTGATCACTCTTCTTCTGGAACGCATAGGTGATGGGCTTGTGATCAGTGTAGATGGTGAATGACCGTCCTTCGACCATATGCCGGAATTGCTTGATGGCCAAGTAAATCCCCAGGAGTTCACGGTCGTATGCTCCGTACTTCGTTTCAGCTGGACTCAACTTCTTGGAAAAGAAGTTCAAGGGTTGCCAGCTGCTATCGATCAGCTGTTGCAAGGAGGCTCCAACAGCGAAGTCGGAGGCGTCGCAGAAGATGGCCAGTGGTGCGTCAGCATCAGGATGAGCAAGCAAGGTTGCCTCAGCGAGACTCTCTTTGCTAGCTTCAAACGCCTTGATGGAGTCTGGAGTCCAGGTAACTGGAGCTTTTCCTTTTAGGTTCCCCTGCAGCAGATTGTTGAGCGGTGCCTGGACCTTGGCAGCATTCGGAAGGAATCGTCTGTAAAAATTAAGCATTCCGAGGAACTTACGAAGCTGCTTAACTGTTTCCGGGCGTGTGTAGGTACGGATGGCATCAACTTTGTCCGGCAGGGGCTTGGTTCCGGCAGCAGAAACTAGGTACCCAAGGAATTTGACCTCAGATTGACCAAATAAACATTTGGCTGGGTTGATGATCACTCCGTATTTCTTGAGTCTCTCGAAGATGATCTCCAGGTGTCCCAGATGTTGCTCAGGTGTCGCAGATGCTATCAGGATGTCGTCGATGTATACGTAGCAGAAGTCCAAACCCTGGAGCACTTCGTCCATGAAGCGTTGGAACGTCTGCGCAGCATTCCGCAAACCAAAGGTCATGAATTTGAACTCGAAGAGTCCAAAAGGTGTGGTGATGGCTGTCTTCGGGATATCCTCCTCGGCGACCGGAATCTGGTTGAAGGCTCGGACAAGATCTATGGTTGAAAATAGGGTCTTACCACGTAGAGCATGTGAGAAGTCCTGAATGTGCCTCATCGGATACCTATCAGGGTAGGATCTCGCGTTGACGGCACGGTAGTCGCCACATGGCCTCCACTCGTCTCCCTTCTTCGGAACCATGTGCAGTGGTGATGACCAGGATGCCTTAGATGGTTAAGCAATTCCCAATTTGACAAATGTTGCAAAATTGGATTTTGCAATTTGCAATCTGTCCGGTGCCAAACGCCGTGGTTTCTGCGCCACTGGTGGTCCAGGAGTTGTCAGTATGTGATGCCTTGTTGAGTGTGGAACAGACCTGGTTGTACCATCCGGGCGAGTTATTTCGGGAAACCGCTGCAGAAGCTCGTGGAATCGAGAAGAACCAGTGACAGTCTTGATGCTGGAAATCTCGCACTCAACCACCTCGCCCTGGGAGGTAAGATGAGTCACTTGGTCGTGAAGCCGTTGGTTCTGTAGGTCCACCAGGAGTTTGTAGTGTGCCAGGAAGTCAGCGCCGATGATGGGTTTCTCTACGTCAGCGACGACGAATCTCCACGTGAATTGGCGACGCAAACCAAAATTTAAATTCAAAATTTGCGTTCCGTAAGTCGCGATGAGTGTCCCGTTAGCCGCGTAAAGTTCGTAGGTTGATTTCTCACGAGGTTGAGGAAGTTGCACACGCGGAAAGACGCACAGATCAGCACCTGTGTCGACAAGGAACCTTATTTTCGAAGATTCGTCCGTTAAAAATAGTCGGCGCGATTTACCGGGAGTTACGTCGTTGGCCGACATTAACGACTTCCCGCAGCGTTTTCCGCACTCTCGAATTTACACGGTTTTTCACATTTCCTAGCATCACTACCGAACTTCCAATGGTACCAGCACATGTCCCTGGACTGCTGTCGTCGGTTTCGAGAGTGTGATCGAGATCTAAACCGTGACCTTGAGTGAGAGTGGTCTCGACCTCGAGACACTTGGTTCACTTCAAGGGAGGCAAATTTTTGCAACACAAGCGCGAGAGTCTGTTCTAGTCCGACAAACCGGGCCTCAAACGGATTAGCAGCGGCACTCGAGGCTGTCACACTTGCACCCGTGTGCGTTTCCGCGACGTTACACAAGCTCCCGTAAGCGTCCGCGACAGAGTCCGCGATGTCAGCACGTTTGTCCAGGGGAAGATCTCTGTGTGCGGCAAGCATGGCTTGCATATGTTTCGGCAAGCGCCCGAGCCAGAGAGTCTGCAGGACATCCTCGGGAAACTTATTTCCTGCCAGGTTGCGGAGATGACGTAAAAATTGCGTTGGTTTTCTGTCACCGAGCGGTTCGTTTTCTAGGAGACGGCGAGTATTATGTTCCTGAGAAGTACCCATGCGCTTGATCAGTTCTGATTTGAGAAGCTCGAAAGTTCGTTCGGGTTTTGGTTTGAGCAAAACGTCACGAATTTCCACGGTATATCGCGGGTCTAAGGCACTAAGCGCGTGACCGAATTTCGTTGCATCTTGAGTGATGCCAGCTGCATCAAAACTACTCTCGAGCAACAAAAACCATAACTCGGGATCTTCAGGCATGAACACTGGCATTTTTAACGCGATTCTTTCGACCGATTCGTTGCTCGTTACACCACTTGTCATTTTGATTTTTTTTAAAGAATTATTGTCAGGAAAAATAAGAAAGAATGTAAAAAACAAGGAATAAATTGGCACAAACTATCAGTGTCACGAGTTAACTTTTCACTTTGTTGACTATTTTTGTATCACTTGATTGTCACTTTTTGTTACTTAATTGTCACTTTGTTGTCACTTGATTGTCACTTTTTGTTACTTAATTGTCACTTGATTGTCACTTTTTGTCACTTTGTCCCACGAAAAATAATTCACGATCACGTCGGGGTCACCAATTTGTGGGATTGTTAGGATTGTGTGACACAATTAATTTCTCAAATTAATAACAACATTTATTTAATCAATAACAGAATTACATACACAAAATAAGAAAGATAGTGAAATGTTAAGGTTTCGATTACGAAATAAAAGATACGAAATTACTCGCGGAATTTTTCGTTAACGTAGGTGCTTGTCGAAATGCTCTCAAAATTGAACTGAACTTTACACAGAAGATCGATGCTTCTTATACAAGAAAGTACATTAAAAACCTATTAAAAGTAATTAAAAATGCATTTCTATGTCTAGACTAATATGACGTAAAGATTCATTCTAAACACGTAATTCAAAGGTAAAGTTGGAGACAGAGAGTCGGACTTAGGGGCATGACAAAGCTAGAACGTTAAAAACTCATTAGACACAAGGAAAAGGGCCAGACAAGACCTAAGCGAATTGCGAAAAAGTAGAATAAGTTTAGAAAATTCCTATTTCATTATTTCATTAAAAATATTTGAAAATTATATAAAAATATTGTAGAGAACGCTACAAATAAAATAATAATAAATAAAAAAAGTGTCAAGATACATTTTCTCCTATGACGGACGAAAAAATTTAAAAAAATTAATCAGATTCGTTTAAAACTTGTTACTCGGGGGTTCTTGGGGTCGCTGATTACGAATATAAAGTTAAAATTGCAAAATTCAAAATGTCGGTTACAATATAAAAGACAAAAAAATAACAAATTAATGGGATTGAAATTAAATTTGATGCTTTGGGTTTTTGGGGCTTCTAAAGTTAAAATGTTAAGAATCATATTGGTGGATCTAATAGGGCGAATTATGTTTAATAAAAGTAAGAAATTTAATTCATTTGTGAAAGGAGACCTGGAACGCTTGAATCGAACGAAAAAGAACAAATGAAAATCAGCTGGCCAATCAATAAAAACAATAGACAACCCTGGAGCGCATGACTTCAATGAAAATGAACAAATGATAGTCAGCTGGTAACAATATTCAAGTAAATCCTATTTAATTTTTAATTCTCGTCCGCCATATTGGATCCGCTATTTTGAATTTTGCAATTTTGACTTCATATTCGCAATCAGCAACTCCAAAAACCCCCAAGTAACAAGTTTCATATAAATCCCATTATTTTTTATTTTTTTTATCCGCCATATTGGATATATAAAATATAATGCCCAAAAAAACATTATGTAAAATTTATAGCTTTCTTGTTCAAAACATCAAAATTAATGATAAAATTATAGCCAAAAACTAAAATTACATTCTCCAAAAAATCCATTTTTGCCAGAAATAAAAAATAAATAAATTTTAAAAAGTTTTCGTCCGAATTACAAAATTTTAAACTAAATAAATTGTTTTCAGAAGGGTTATAGAAAAATTCAAGAAAAGCGTTAGAGCCTAACACTTGAAGGACGTATACGTAATATATAGTTTGGGGACATGAAAATTAAATGACCGGATTAGAGCTTAAAAAATTATTTGTTTAGAAAATAGTTTTTTCAATTTATAAACTATAATGCCCAAAGCACCATTATGTCAATTTATAGCTTTCTTGGATCAAACATCAAAATTAATCATAAAATTGTTACAAACCAGAATAATAAATTTATGTTGTTCCTTTTATTCGAGCTTTTGAAATGGCTCTTATTTAAATTCGGTTTGGGGAGGCACCAAGCTGCCAGGGTCTTTAAGGCCCTGTTTAATTGTGTGGGATCGTTTTTCCAACTTTTAAAAGTTACCGGGATAGCTTTGTTTTAACTCTGATAAATAATTATTTCAATTTACTTTATTTATTTCAGGAGTTTTAAAATAAATAAAATCAGATTTGGCATTCACATTAAAATTTTATTTTAACAAGATATTAAGAAATTTACAAACTTGCACATGTTTGAAAGAGAATTAAAGTTGAAAGTAACATTAAATCATTGAAATGATACAGACTTGGCCCACGCTTAAAAGCCTTGAATCCT